AATTTGTCTGATCCACACACTCTACTAAAAAACAATAATTATTATCAATGCTAAAATATTCAATGTCGATATTGTTGACATCACTATCATCGCCTCATTTATCATTAGTACGATACATAAGCCGACGAATTAATTTTCGACGAAATGAACTGTCGACGAAATGAACTTTCGACGAAATGATTGTCGACGAAATGATTGTCGACGAAATGATTTTCGACGAAGTAAACGGGACCGAGCGTTCACCGCCTGTTGAAGTGTATTAGCAAGAGTTTGTATATCTTTTTGATGTGTTGGTTTGTTTACTTTTTTGGTTTTGTGGTTTACTACTGGTTGATTTAAATTGAAAAAGTCTCCTATATAGATCTGAAATAGAATTGCCATCTGAGTCACTAGGGTTGTCACTATCTCCACTTGTTTGCTCTACAGAACTTGATATAACTTCGTTTGGTGCCAATGAAATTGATTAGTCCTTGCTGCTGCCTCTATATATTCTGATATAATTTTCAGGGTATTCCCTGTATAATGCTATAATACTTGAGATAAATTCCAAACTTGTTCTGGATCTTGTCCCACTAATAAATGCTCGAAATCAAAGAGGGTATATGAAGTGCAATATATGGCCTGACAGTTATCAGTCATTCAATTCCAAAATATGAGGAATTGTGGTGAGAAGTTTTGACATAGTAGGTTGCAATCATGGCAAGATAGGTCCCGCCCGATGAAGGTGAGTTATAGTTGTTAAACATGGATGTAATCGACGTTGTCTTTTGTGCTCTAAAGTATTTTGCTCTATAGTATCAAAGTTCATTCAACTAATCCTCATAAGGGTCTTCTTCGTATGGCAAATCGTCTGGGATATTCTTTTTTAATTAATTTGTTGCAATTTTTCTTCAAATGTCCTTTTCCTCTGCAGAGTTCACAATAAAGTGGTTTTGAAAAATGAATTCTATATCTTCCGCCTCAATTAGTCCTTGGACTTTACAATATTTCTTGATATGATCTTTTGTTTCACAAGAATAACAAATTTTGTTGTGGTAAGGCTCTTCTAGTTGGTAGTGATATTTGAAAAGTTGATCAAGATGTTTAGAGAAATAATTAAAGACCAAATTGGTTAACTGAGAATCCTTAATGTCATCTTGAGAATTTGTTGATAAACTTGAACAAAAACTTCTGATTTGATGTTAATTCTCTCAATTGGATTTACAAAATTTTTTGAATAAAATGGTTACCTCGTAAGGTGTAAATAAAGTAATAAATAATAAAAAACTAAAATAAAAGAGAAAGAATAATAATAATAACTTACAGATACCTTCATTCGTTGATGAGTTAGTGGAAGGTGCAATTTTATGAAATATCTTGAAAAAAAAAAAAAGAAAAGAAAATATTAAAAAAATTCTGTAGATTTCAATTAAAAAATTTTATCTTCTTAGTGTAAATTTCCACACAATCTGCACCGATTATGATTTGGGAGAGCGTATTAATTGATGGTAACAATAATTTTTGATTATGTGTATCAAAATGAATTGGCTATACTAACGAATTAGTTTTTATTAGCGTTTTATGATTTAAGAAAATGTTTGATTTTTTTACAGACCAGACAGAGCTTGGTATAGTTGCTTTAAAATAAAACGTATGGTTGGTTGGAAGGGTTAAACCAACTTATCCTGTACTTTTTATACACTTACTTTATTTATTTAGGATCGCGAGCACGAACTGATTAGGCGTAACCAATTAGATGGTACTTTTAAAATTTTTAGGCGTTTTTATATTTGCAGAGCGCCTTGACATATTCAAGATGTATTTATTCGTGCCCTCTTATATGTTGTCGTATTTCATCGTAAAGTATATCGTCCGGGTAAAAGTTTCTGATTTAATTATTTTTGAATTGTATTAAATCACTTGTGAATATTTCACATAACCTGCACCAAGTTGACAATATTTTTATGTTAATGTGGATCAGAATGAATAGATTTTAATCAATGAAATAGTTTTATTTACGAAATTTTTTGGTTTATATTACAAAGTTATTGTTACAGTATGTCGATTTCAATCTTTTTGTATGCATGTTAATTAATTAGTCGTTGCATAGCCATCAAATGGCAATATTTGTTTTTTCGGCCATTTAATGGTTATTCCGCACTCTTCGTAATCATCCCTCGTTAATTTCTACCAAAAGTTAAATAGATAATAACGTGTTACGAAATAATTAATATAATTATACAGATAAAATATGATAAACAATAAACAATAGACAATAGACATATAAAAATTAGATTAATCCGGCTTTGGCCAATAAATCGGCATCAAATTCTAATTTCGATAACAATATCTTTAGCAAAGAACCACCATACAAGTTTTATGAAAAGTTGCATTCAATTACGATCTCAAGGTATTTAAATCAATCAAATTTTTTATAACAATAAATGATGATAATAGATTTTTTTTTTTTTTAGTGCTTAGAAAATTTATAAAAAATTAAAAAAAACGACTCATTACAATGTTTCACCCATAAAAAAGAAAAAATTAAAAAATCAAAGCTTCCTAATAATAATGGATAAAATATTATAAAATATTTCATTTAAGTGTTGTTTTCTAAATATCCTGTAAAATATTGTTTTTAAAAATTAAATAATCCATTTAATCAAAATAAAGAATTTTATTTTATGTATGTGTGTGTGTAGGTATAAATGACCAATGTAATAATATATTTATCACTTTATGATAATGAACTGATAATTTAATATTATTATATTTTAAAGGAAAAAATAAATTGTTTTATATTAATGAGTAAAATTATCTCGCATTAATCATTAATTTTTGTGAATTTTTTACTAATCTTATTGTGAACAGAATTGATGATATTATTTTTTTGCTGTACATTCGTAAACAAAAGGATGGGTCTTCACAGTCTAAAAACCCAACAAACACGAAGAAAATACAATTATTAAAGGTGGTCAGCAAAATTTATATAATAATAATAAAATAATTAGAGGTTGGAATCGACTAAAATAATCGACTAAACTCCTTTTTGAACAACTAATAGTCGACTATTTTAATCGATTATTTAGTCGACTACTAATACTACTAATACTAATACTAATACTATGCTAATATTATTATTGTCTGACCAATTACGATTTTTGCATTTTATCATTCAAAATGGAAATTTCTATGCGAAAGAGTATCAATACCATCAATATGATGATAACGACAATAGTAGTGGTGTTGTTGATGATAATTTTACATGCGAATGAATAAACACTTCCAATACAAGGTCCAATAGTTCATTGACTTCAAGTTCCAATGATTTAAGCGGTGGTTCCAGAAGACCTTTAAAAAAACGAATTGTAACACATGGTTTGTGTGGAAGCATTTTGAAAAAGTGAAAGATTCAAATGGAAATGAATTTGTAATTTGCAAATTAAAAAAAACGAAATACTATTATTATAAAAAATTTCTTTAGTTGACTAAGTATTTTTTGGACGATTCCAACCTCTGAAATTACTTTTCTTCAAGCACTTTAAATAAAAGGAATTTTATTTAGTTGATTTTTAGAGAATAATAAAAATGCCTATCAAGACAATTTAAAAAAAAAACTTTTGAAAGTGATCAAATTTATTTTTTTATATCTTTTATGAAGATGGAACATTATAAAGTATATTATGACATTACAGCTTTTAATTACAGCTATCATTCAAATGCCGTAATATTATGACATTCACAAATCAATTTGGGCTGCATGTATAATTGGGGGATTAGCAAATCTTTCCATTTTATACTTTGTGCTATGTATGTATGATTGTTGTATAAATATATAACAAATTGAGAAGAATTGCATTAGATTATATTTGGATATCAATTTCCAGTTAAGGAGTTTTTCATTTACAACTAAATTTAATTAACCCTTACTTTTTTATGTTTATTCACCTTTTTTATTTTATGTTTCGATGCATTTATTTATCATAAAAGATTGCAAGTTACAGCTGCATAATTTCGCACATTTATAAAATGAGATCACCAAATTACCTTATTATGTCACAGGAAAAAATCATCATCCTTGAATCCATGTCATATATCTAGGGGTTACGACACCTGCATGCAGAATCATCTATTGTTATAGTAAGTATTAAAATTAAAGCCCCGATGCTTTATGTACATGCATCAGAAGCTTCCAGTCAAAATTTGTCATCAGAAATAATGTCACATATAGACCCAAACTACAATAAGTCAAGAACGAAATCCAGAATGATGGAGGAATATACACATCAAAGACTAGTGCTGTAATCCAAAAAAGGAAAAAGTATGGTTGCAAAAGTGGTCGCAAAGGTAATTTTGACCACTTTTTATATGCCGTAAATACAATTACTACCATCATCATAATTTACAGCACTAGTCTTTAATACACATTAATGTAGAAACAGTTAAAGTTGCTTTGAGAAGAATCAGGATTTGATTATAAAATTTAGTGATAAATTTTACTAATTTATTACTTGAATGTCATTTGGATTTTCTATACTTTCTACTACAACAAGTGATAGTATTAAGGAAAAATAAAAATAAAAAATTTTATTCTTAAAGATCTAAAATTCTCAAATTTCCTGAAACTACTTTATTTTCTAATACAGCATTAGATGGAATATCAATATGTGCACCATGATTAGCAAAGATAATTACAGTTCCTTTAAGTTTCACATTGGATCCAAATGTAACATCGCCTGTTACTGTTAAATGATCAAGTTCAAGGATATGTGGCAGTGATTGAAATCGTGCTAAAAAATTTGACACCTACAGTTAGATAGAAAGAAAGAAGATTGATTAATAAATAATTTTTATATAGTAGAAAACAATCATTGTTGTTGTTATTACCTTTTTGAATCCATCACCTAATTTCACCAATGGAACAGTTTGGAACAAACATTTTGGATTCATTGCAAGCTCACCATGATTAAGGGAATATAGATCAGATGTTATTAAGAACAGATCAGATGTAGATTTTACAGGCAAGAATCGATTTCTTGGCACATTAATCCCATGAGCATTTGTAAAATGTTTAATAACTTGCACCAACAGCTGTTTTCAATTGTATGACCTTTTCATCAGAATCCAAAGTTTTCTTGTTGCTAATAACCTCCAAACCCAATCCTTTTTCCTTGGTGATCCACTTGATTGCTTTCAAATTAATCCATAGATTATTTGTATTGAAAATTCTGAATTTCTTGATGGATTTAAATTCTTCCATGTGTTTAGCTGGTACTTGTGCTATCTCCAACAATCTAAATTTGCCCTCATAATCTATCAGTGTACCACCTTTGATATCAGCTTTTGTTTTGTCTGTGACTTCCATTAAAAATTCGACTTCTGAATCTACAAGATATTGAAGAATTTCCAAATTTGCCACTGTTCCCAAATTGTCAACATTGGAAACAAAAATGTACTCTTTTCCTTCTGCAATTAATTGATCCAATATTCCTGAATTAACCTAATAAATTATCTCATAAGTAATTTATATAATATATTTACAATATAAATAAATTTTTTTGTTTGTTATATTAATACCATTCACTTATATCACTGTTAGGAGATCTTGGAATAGGTAATAGTGATTCATTATTTATTCTGGGATATCTTGATTGATTAAATGTAAGTATACTAATTTTATGACTTCCATATTTTTGAATTTTGTTGAGTTTCACCATCAGTGTTAAAAGAATTCATAAGTATGAATGGAACATTAACATCATATTTGCTATTAAGGTACTATTCATCATGTATACAATAATAATTATTATTAATTAATGATTATATCCTTATTATCACCATAATAATAGTCATAGTTTTACAAACCTCAATTTGTCTAACACTTAAATCTAAAAATGTCATGTTATCTCTTACTTCGATAACACTTTTAGGACCAACATAACCCATTGTTGTTCCAAGTCCACCATTGAGTTTAAGTACTGCCAATTTCTTGAGATATTCTGTAGTGTTCCATGTTGCAATCCAAAAAAGGAAACAAAATGGTCATAAAGGTGGTTGCAACCAGCAGTCGCAATCATTTTTATATGATGCAAAGATGGTAGCAACCATCATCAAAAGTTGCAACTGGTATCCTTAATATTCTGTATGTTCACATGTTGGTAAATCCTTATATGAAATAATTTGTTCCAGACTAGGTGACTTGACTTTACCCCAATCTCTTTTTTAAAATCAAAAATAAATATATATATGTAATGTATGTATGCATGCATACATGTATATATATTACAGTTTTGTTCCTTTCAATTTTTTGCTTGAGTAATGAGTAAATAATAAATAAAAATTATCCATTTCATTATGAAAAGCCTACAAATCATCATTAATAATGAAGATAATAAAATTCAATTAATTCAATTATATACATGTATTGATTGATGTTGTTGATATATAAATAAAGATATACTTTTCAAGCTTTCGTGTCTTGAATTGAATCAACCATTTTATTAAGTCAATTCGCATGGCTTTAGCTGCAACACCCAAGCTTGCAGTTTGGAAATCCTACAATTTTTATTCAATGTATAGATAAGCATGGATTTCTTTAATGTCTTGCTCTGAACCAATTTGAATTTTCACATCAAAGTTGTCTTCTGATGGTAAAAATCACCAAAATATTCAGATATATACCAATTCTGGATCCATGCTAGTTTTTTTTCTTGGACTTAATCTGTAATTTCTTAATAATGGTAAATAATAAATAGGATAAAAAAAGAGTATAAATATTAGTCATATATCATAATATATCATATATATTATATACAAAAATAAATGTTTGATGTTGGAGTTCAAAATATGATTATTTTTTTTATTGAATAGCACAAGTATGGTATTTATTTATTCAACTAGAGTGACAATAAATGGTGATAACCACCACCATTCTTATCAAAAACACTTACTCACAAGCAGCATCAAAATCCTTTATTTTCATGCCTTCTTTATCTTCTAAAGTAACTATTGATACTAACTATCATGCTCTAATGTTACTTACTCATTTCTGGCTTTTTCCTTGTCTCCCCTCTTCTTTGTTTTTTTTTGTATATAAGAAAATACATAAAAAATTTTCTATAATAATTAAAAAAAAAAAAGATTTTGTTTTTGATCTAGATGGATCTGCACATTCAATTTACAAAAAGGATAATCCTATACACTCACTGGTCATAAATATAAGGACACTTGCAGATCATTGGAAATAATTGAACAAAGAAACATGAAAAAAAA